AGTGTAATGAAATGAGTGTATTAGATGATGTTGGGATTTGTACAGACTATATAAAATCTGCCATCTAATGTAGTGAAGTGTAGGTGGGTGGCTATGACATTCTCCATTCTCCACAGTCTGTCCCATAGAACAGCAATGCTCCCTTAACTCTATAGCGTAGGGTGCCTTTTGCACTGCTTTGCTGTCAAAACACCTAATGTGGGTCTGTTCACACAGCCTTCAGTATGCAGATTCACTCCTAGCTAAACCCAGGAACACTCCAACTTGTCATTCTTGAACTACATACCTGCAAATTCTTAGTCCCAGGCTTGTTCCCCAGAAATATGTGTTGTATTCTCCAGCACACTACTGACCAATGCAAGCTGTTGTTCACCATTTTATCATGTGCTCCAGCCTTGTTATCACAAATAGTTTCCCACACATTGTAATCCAAACAGACTGGATAAGATAAAACAGTAAGATAGGTTTATTGACTATGGTAAGTGATAATACATAAAAGTCAGAATTGGTTTTTAAAAAGAGTTATGTGCAAACTAATTCCTAACTTAACAAGCTAAGGAAATGTAAAAACTTGAGAGATAAGAACATAAGAATGGCTGTACTGGGTCAGACCTATGGTCCATCTAGCCCACTATCCTGTCTGCTAACAGTGGCCAGTACTAGATGCCCCAGAGGAAGGGAACACAACAGGTAATTCTCATGTGATCCCTCCCCTGTCACCCATTTCCAGACAAACAGAGGCTAGGGACACCATTCCTACCCATGCTGGCTAATATCCATTGATGGACCTAACCTCCAAGAATCTATCTGGCTCTTTTTTGAACACTGTTAAAGTCCTACACTTCACCACATCCTCTGGCAAGGAGTTCCAGAGATTGATATCATAACCAGAGAGATGAGAGGAGAGATGAAATGGAGGGTACTGTCTCTTTCTCTCCCACTTATACCATCCTCATCTCTTTTGAGAATTTACCTGCATCTGAGAACAGGCAACAAGCAATCTCTTGCAACTGTGAGGGTTGAACTGTCTGTGTGCTGAATTGTAAATATAGTCTGTACACCTTGTTCCTGAAGAATGGCTGCTTAGAGCAATGGTAGCTGTTTTACACTTGCTGGGGTAATAGTGTATCTTTCTCTGAAAAACCAGTTTGTGCCTGTTTGTCTTGACTAATATAACAATGATACATAGCAGAATGTAGTAACTCCTCGTATAATATTGATACACATATTTTAATAAGATAATAACATTCAGCAGATTATGATTTTTCAAATGATATCTCATAAGGCATACTTTTACAAAATGTATCATAGTTTTGTAAAAATGGTGACCAATTAGTGTATACAGTGACTGTGATGCTTGCCCAAGGAGTAGCATGTATGTAGTCCTCAATGAGGGTATGTCTACACTACCACCCTAGTTCGAATTAGGGTGGTTAATGTAGTCAATCGAAGTTGCAAATGAAGCCCGGGATTTAAATATCCCGGGCTTCATTTGCATCTTGCCGGGCACCGCCATTTTTAAATCCCCGGTAGTTCGGACTCCGTGGCTACACGCGGCACAGAGTAGGATCTTGCCGGGCGCCGCCATTTTTAAATCCCCAGTAGTTCAGACTCCTTGCCCGTGGCTACACGCGGCACAGAGTAGGTAGTTTGAATTAGGCTTTCTAATTTGAACTACCTACTCCGTGCCACGTGTAGCCGTGGGCACGGAGTCCGAACTATCGGGGATTTAAAAATGGCGGCGCCCGGCAAGATACAAATGAAGCCCGGGATATTTAAATCCCGGGCTTCATTTGCAACTCCGGTTGCCTACATTAATCCCCTAGTTCGAACTAGGGTGGTAGTGTAGACATACCCTGAGAGAGAGAGTAGGTGTTACCTGAGTTCTGCACAGAGTGTCACTATTCATAACAGAACACATTAAAAATAACATTAGCAATAATTATTAGTTACTGATAGAGTCCAGAGTCTAAAAAGCGCTAATATGAAAAAACAAAGAAAAATGTGGTGTCTTTAGTTTTTTTGGAAATGTAAGAAACATTCACATTTTTCTATAATTTATAATTTATATTTTTGCTATAAAATTCTTTTGACCAAATTCTCTTCAAGCCTATTAACTTGTGCGCCCATTTGACCTTTCTACTTTGTTCACCTTTGTCTAGCACAATATCAAGTCTGTAGTTCTAGGAGGCCTCTTCCGCTGTGACACAATTTTAAGTTGAGAGCATGAGTGTGAGGCATGCTGGGCACCATTTTGATTTTGTGGTTGTTTTATACTGGTATAACTTCATTGTTCTCAGTGAAGTTACTCTGACTTTGTACTGGTATGAGAGCGGAACCAGGAACGCAAAATATACAGACTGTTAACATGTATACTTTGACTTCCAGTTCAAATTTAGGATCAGAGCTGCTTCTATTATTGTTAGTGAAAAAGCAGACAATTATTTAAGGCCGTGGCTTCTTTAAACTGTGATTTTTAATACCTTAAGGCTACGTCTACACTGTGCATTGTTGGGTAAGAAAACTATCGCCATGAATATCGATATGCCTCATTTGCATACCTAATGAGCCGTCATTTTTGCGGAAGGGGCTTATGCTCAAGAAGGAGCTATCTACACTGTTCCTTCTTGCACAAAAAAACCTCTCTTGCGCAGGAGCCATTCTTCCTGAAAATAAGTGGCAAATCGTCTCCTGCACAGGAGGGTTTTTTTTGCACAAGAAGGAGCAGTGTAGACAGCTCCTTCTTGCACAAAAACCCCTTCTGCAAAATGACAGCTCATTAGGTATTCAAATGAGCTGCAGCGATATTCATCGCTGAGCCTCATTTGATATCTTCTTGCGCAATGATGCGTAGTGTAGACGTAGCCTAATAGTAAACAAATAAAACATTGAATGGTCTATACATTTCACTATAGACATGTGATGTTGTCCTGAAGTGCCCAATACTGATCATTGTCAGACACAGGGTAGTAGACTAAGTAGAATCTTCTACTGATTCAGAACAGTGATTTAATCTTGTGTTCCTGTATAATTGTCTGATTGTTCAATCAGTTGAGCAGCATGTTCACAGGTTGTTATAATATACATATTCAAGAGTTCCCTCAGTGTGTTTGTCTTTATCATTTTAAAAGGTCCTTGTCCTTTGTTTGGATATAGAAAGGTATTTCAACAGTCCCAAATAACAGCAAAAGGGACCAGTGGGGAGCCCTCAAAAGCTCTGAGGTTGGTGTTATGTGTTGACAGTGTCTCATATCCAGACACATCAATCATTTTCTTTTATGTAATGCGACAGACACATGTAGGCATGATGCCTCCCAATCAGTTCAGGAACCTTGAAATGCTGCTTTTCCTTGAAGGGGCAGACTGAATAATCCTATTTGTTGTTGCTGTTTGTTCAATAGAGTTTTCAGTTTTCCAATTTATTTACTTTCAATTTTAGTTTTAGTTCATTTAACCTTCAGAAAACATTTATGCTCTATAACGCTCAGGAAAAGAAGGCTTGGTGGCATGCTGCTTTGTTTAGTTCTTGTACTTTGGCGGTGATGTCTGCAATAATAAATGGATCCATTTGAAATGGAAGTGATTAAGCTCTTGTTGAAATGTCTTCTGGAACAAAATATTAGCTTTTCTCTCAAAGGGCAGATATTGCTACATTTAACCCAACCAGAGACAAAGTTGTTACCATTTAAACATCACTTGGTTCCTGCTTGCCTCAGGGAAATGGGGACAACATCTGCATTCAGGTGTTTCACTTTCTTAAAATACGAAAACACTGATCTGTACAGGCTTTAGAATGGTAAATTATGGCTGAACCAGTTTCATTTGTAAAAACACATTGTTACTCTCCTCAATTATTGTGAGTTATGCCTTTGAACTTGACAATCTGAAAGATATCATGAAGGGATCAGGGTGTTAGGAATGCAGTGGGGTTTCCAGCATAGACTTTCTTAGCTGGAGACCCATTTCACACGTGTATTTGTGATAAAAGTGCAAATGAGTGTGGTGGTCTCATTTTTATCCCTGGTCCTCTCACAAATGATCACACGAAATTTGGCATGACTGGCAGTCACTTCTCAAAAGGAGTGGAAGTATGCAACAAGAACAGGATTTCGGGTGCGTAAGGGGTGCAGCAGTGAAGGGGCTGCCTTCACCAGCCAGGTGTGAGAGGAATGCATGGAGTGCAAACACTTTCCCCTCACTCCCTTAGCATCCAAGGTATGGGATGAAAAGCTAGTCCTGTCCCAGAGCACATGGCTGCTGCCTCCCCTACACACCCTAAATGGTGCCCTTGATATGCAAAAGCTGAAGGCACTGCTGTTCAGGGAAGAGATAGATTGGCATACAGAATAGGTTCTCGTTTGAAATAGCAATAGTCCCTAGGCACTGAGGAAATACAATTTATAATAATATATAATAAAGTTTGGGTTAGTCTGGTGCTAATAATTCATCAACACTCTGAGCAATGAATTCTTTCCTAGTATAAAGAAAAAGGGATGTCTAGAATAATCATGAGAGACCACAACCACTCTTTAGCACTTCTATAAAACTTTATATTTGAAAGGCTATACTAACATTAATAAGCTACTGTATTCTGATGTATGACTTAACTAATATAAAGATGCACAACCCATTGAATTTTCAGTTTGTTCCATCCCTTTAAAGTATGTGTTTTAAGAAGAATTTGTTTCAAATGTGTTACACATGTATACCATTTGATACTCGTCAGCATTGTTTCGACTTTTGTTCATTTCAGTAAGAGGCCTCCTCTTTGGCGAGTGTGTGTTGTGATATAACCACAGAGTTCCAGGCTAAATCTCATAGTATGGTGTCAAAAAATGTACCCATGAAAATGTTAACATTGCTCTTTTCTAGCCTACAGTGCAGTACTGTCAGTAGAATTCCAGGTATTGGAAATAACATGGATAACAAAATAATTTATTCTGCACAAAAATAGCTGCAGGACAAAGGGTTCTAAAGATCTTCTTTCTTTTATCATTCAGATTTGTGATAAAGAATGGCACTACTACGTCGTCAATGTTGAGTTTCCTGTGGTTACTTTATATATGGACGGCACGACATATGAGCCTTACCTTGTGACAAATGATTGGCCTATTCATCCATCACATATAGACATGCAGCTAACGGTTGGTGCTTGTTGGCAAGGTAACACAATCAAGGGTGCATAAACTGAAATTATTTAAATCCCCATTTAAAGAGTGTTTTTCTTCCATCTGCCTCATGTAAAGTGCACTGGAAATAAATATATTTTTACAGAACTGAGGGGTGATGGTGGCTGATTGTGCTTCCACTCACACTGGTATAAAACAGAACTAACCCCACTGAAATCAATGAAGTTCTACGATGGTAAAACTAGTGAAACTGAGAGCAGAAGCAGGTCTTATATACCTGTCATCCATGTACCTGGTTTGCATTATGTATGAGCTGAGATGAGACTGATCTTCATTATCTTTTGTCTTGAGTAGGCTAACCTCTTTGGTTTTGGTCTCCAGCCTCAAGCCATACAAATAATGTTTGTATCCTCAAAATCCTACACATCTTCTCCTATTTATATATTGGCCTTACTTGCCTCCTGCTCCCCTTCTTAAGCCATGTGTTCATTCCAGTATTCCTTTCTGTCCTTATGCCGCTAGTACTTCTATCTCTTATTTCACATGTTTCATGCACTGGGGACTTTCTCCATCTGCTCTCCTCCAAAGTTCCCTCCTTCATCTAGATTTCCATCTGATGCAATCTACTGATACACAGGAACCTAACTATAAAAAAAAAAGAAAAAAAACCCAGCCTCCTAATATGAAATACTGTACAAGAATATGTACACTTTGCTCGACATGGGGAAAAATTTGTTCCCAAGGGATGTATTCCCTTACTGTTGTTTAATGTTTTCTCTCTCAGTTACTCAAGGTTGAACCTAAAGCAATGGTAAAGTAACTGGTGGGGTTTTGTTCTCTTTTTTTAGCTGATGTAAGAAGTAAATCAGCAGGGACACAGTTAATAAATAATACAACTTAGAATGCTTTTTACCTAAAACTACATTTTTTATTATCCTTTAAGTGTATGTGTGTTTAATGTGTGTGTGAATGTATGCATGTATGCTATAGCAATAGATTACCTCTTTTCCTGAATAAAAGCTTTTTTTGGACTCCTCGATGTGTATTTTTTGGCTTAATCTTTATAGTTGATTTTTTTATAAAACACATATTTTATGATAGTTTTTATGGGTTATTATAGTAACTCTTAATGGGTTTCTGTTTTTTAATTATAGACACTTACATGTTATTTTTTTTATTAAAACATTTTTAGTATTTTCAACAATAAAATGTGTATATCAAGAGCATTTAAAACTAAGATCAGCTTTTTAAACTTTTTTATGGTGTATTAACTTTTTATTTTTTTATTTCAGTTAGTAAAACTGCAATCATGTAGCTCTTTGGTTTTACCTTATAGAGCCCTAAAATTATTTCTAGCTATTTGGTATTTAGTTTTTAGCTAGCAATACTAACACACATGGGCTACGTCTACACTGGCCCCTTCTCCGGAAGAGGCATGCTAATTTCAAACTTTGGAATAGGGAAATCTGCGGGGGATTTAAATATTCCCCGCGGGATTTAAATAAACATGTCCGCCGCTTTTTTTCCGGCTTGGAAAAACTAAAAAAACTAAACTTTCAGGTAGGAATAAGAGATCCTTCGGAAAAGGGCTTTATTCCGGAGGATCGCACCAGTCTAGACGCTTTTTTCCGGCTTTTCCCCAAGCCGGAAAAAAAGCGGCGGACATGTTTATTTAAATCCCGCGGGGAATATTTAAATCCCCCGCAGATTTCCCTATTCCAAAGTTTGAAATTAGCATGCCTCTTCCGGAGAAGGGGCCAGTGTAGATGTAGCCAAAATGACTGACTGTAGTAATGTGAAATTATGAGTCAATGTTCCCGCATCTTTTTATATCCACCTTACCAGTTTGGTCTGTTGTTATTTACTATGTGTTTTTAGTAAAATCTGGAGCCACTCAGATGTCTCACAGTGATTCAGTTTTTTTCTAAGATCCAGAGAGTATGACGAATATTGGGGTTGGCATGAGAGGGAGGGAGAGGGCTCTGGCTGAGCGTATGGGCTCTGGGGTGGGGCGGGAGATAAGGGGTTTGGGGCAGGGCCGGCCTTAGGCTGATTTGTCCGATTATCCCAAATCTGGCCCCTCGCCTAAAGGGGCCCTGCGCCCTGAATCCAGAAGCATGGGCGACGAGTTATATGGGCTCGTGGTGCCCATGATCTAATATTCAGAGCCGGGAGCCCTTCTCCACCAATATGTGGAGCTGGGTCTCTCCCGTGGCCCTGCCTGGCCCCAGCCTGTCCCTGCCGTGTGCATTTTTAAGTCTGGCTCCCCCTTGCTGGCGTGTGCTGCTGGCTGCTGCTACCATGCATGGCGTTCCCAAGTGAGCAGGGATTCACCCGGGCTTGACATGATGTCACAGCCCTGGACTTTTAAAGTTTTAAAAGTTTTAAACTGCTCAGCGCCATGTTACGCCACTTGGCCTAGCTCTGGGTTCAGAGTCCAGGGACTTCTGGGGCCGGAGCGCAGACTCCAGCCCCGCAAAGTGGAAAGCAGAAGGGAAGGGACTTGTGCGGAGGAGGAGGGGGAAATAGGGGAAGGGGTTGGAGAGGAAGGGGCTTGTGCAGAGCGGGAGAGGGAGGGGGAAGAAAGGGGAAAGCACCAAGGGACAGCATGGAGGAGAGACAAATGCCAGGGAGCCAAGTGCAGACAATGAGGAAAAGGGCAGGAGGGGAGGTGTCAGTGAGAGGGGGGACATGGTGATGCTGTGAGTGGAGAGGGTAAGGGCATTGGAGGCTAGAGGGTGAAGGGGTAGGTTCTGGGAGAAGGCTTGAAAGAAGGGGTGGGCATGAGGAAGGTGGGGATGGAGCTAGTCATGTGTGAGGGCATAGAAGGCCATGAGGGGAATGGAGGCAGAAGGTGGTGAGGGGGAGGGCATCAGGGAAAAAGAGGGCAAAGGGGGCAGGGGCAGTGAGGGAAGGGGGAGGCACCAGGAAGGTGCAGGGCTAAGGGAAGGTGCAGGTGCCAGGGGATTCTGGGGGTGAAGCAGGGCTACTGGAGGAGTGGGCACAAGGGGCCGAGAGGGCTGAGGGCAGTGAGAAGGGCAGGATTCAGGACAGCAGAGGAGGGTGAGGCGTTGGGGGGCAGGAGGCACAGAGGGGGGCTACTGGAGGAGTGGGCACAAGGGGCCGAGAGGGCTGAGGGCAGTGAGAAGGGCAGGATTCAGGACAGCACAGGAGGGGATGTGGGTGGGGGGCAGCAGGCACCAGGGGAGCTGATGGAGCAAGGGGAGAACACAATTCATTCTGCTCATGGGAGGAAACTCTTAGGCTATGTCTACACTGGCAGCTTCTTGCACAAGAACACGTCCACAGTGCCATGTGCGAGCTGTGCTTTTGCGCAAGAGCATCCATGGCAGTGTGGACACTCTGTTGCGCAAGAAAGCTCTGATGGCCTTTTTAGCCATCGGGGTTTCTTGCACAAGAAATCCCTGCCAAGCATCCACACTGCCCTCTTGCACAAGAAAGCTTACACCTGTTAGAAAAAGCGCAGTTCGTGAGCAAGACGCATTCTCTTACCACACTGTCTTGTAAATGCCAAACAAGCCACATGATCTCAATACTGGTGCACAACACAAAATTCATTCTGCTCATGGGAGGAAACTCTTGGAGGGAACACTTCCCCCAGCCTCTCTGCCCCCGAGATAATGTCACACACATTGGGTTAATGCAATTGTAGGATAGTTGCATGAGGGGAGTTTGGTGGGGGCCAAACTAATCCTTGTTGGTAGGAGGATGATGGGAAGATGATACCTTTTACTTCTGGTCATGTGTCCCTCTTTCCCCGAGCATGTTACCTCCAGAGGCCTGGTTAATGGGGGGCAGGGGGTGTGGCTAATGGGGAACCACCAAAAATTATACAAAGCTGCCAACCTTTGCCCGGAAGTGTGCTGGGCACGCTGTGGGAGGGGGCATCGGCCCCGGAGGAGGAGTGCGGTGGCTGCCTGAGCCACAGGAGATGTGAGTTGAGCACAGGGTTTCCCTGCGCTGGGGCAGGGGGCGGGAGGGTGTTAGCTACCTCTGGAGATTTGCGGGGAAGGTAGCTGGGGATTTTTTGTGTGCAGATTTTTTTTTTTGGCTCAACCAAAATTGCTGTGGGGCCTCGTCAAAATTGTTTGAATTGGGCCCCGCACTTCATAAAGCCAGCCATGGTTTGGGGTGCAGGAGGTGTAAGAGAGATCAAGGAGTTTGGAGGGTGGGAATGGAAGTAGGGCAGTGGCAGGGAGCTGGGTTGCGGGGCAGGAAGGCAGGACTGTGGCGAGCAGGCTCCATGCGGAGCTTTCATCAAGCAGCTCCCAGCAACAGCAGCACGGCAGGTGGCTCTGCCCAGTCCCCCAGCCACATGTACCACTATCACAGCTCCAGTTGGCTGTGGTACCCAGTCAGTGAGAGCTCTGGGGTGGTATGTGGGGTGCGGGAAGTGTGTGGAGCTCCCTGGCTGCCCCTGTGCATCGGAGCTAGAAGGGTGAATGTCACTGCCTCTGGGAGTCTCCTGTGAAGAACTAGGTAAGCCCCGTCCCTGCTCCTCAGCAGGAGTTTGAGGACCAAATTAAAATGGCTAATGGACTGATGCAGCCCAAGGACCTTAGTTTGCCCACCCCTGCATCCCATTGGGGCAATATCCTATCTATGTTTATACTTATAGTTCCATGCACAAGATCATAATTATAGTCAAGAATTTATGTGTTGCATATTGATCAGATAAATATTGTGATAATCAATTAATGATTACAAAGCCCAATCCTGTATACCTGATCCTGGACAGAGGTCCTTTAGAACTGGGGTCAGGATTATAGTACTGTACTCAGTTTTATACCTCCTGGTATTTGAGAATGCAGTTCTTTCTTTCCCCTCACACTCATGTAGCTCATGTATTTGTTTATTTGTATTAACATTAACTAACACATAATTGATTTTTTACACATTTATTCTTATTCTTATTTTTTCTAGATAGGAAAATGTGGTGACAAATCTATCAAGGTTTTCAGAAATGAGAGCCTCTATTCAGCTGATGATCTGGTAGGATAATTGCTCAGCTTA